GACTTGGGATCTTTCCAAAATTTTCATGCTGTGATTTTGCATTTTTGCGAATTACAGACTAGGTAGGCTAGAAGGAAACGTCAATTTAGAAAGAGTTAAAAAATAGCAGGGCAGAATTGCTTCTACTTACTTTCGTTCTATTTAGGAACGGGAGTGACATGCACTCCGAATAATCCATCAACATGTAGTGGACGGAATCCATTTTGCGCCACAACATCAGGAAACACATTTAAATGCTGTAGTGATCGAATACAGGTGAAGTAGCACGATCGCCTTAGCACGGAGTGCACCTTAAGCACGAGGACTCATTTGGTGTTCATGCCAAGCCTTTACTGGTTGCAGCATTCAATCCACCAGTCACAGACTCTGCTCACACGTGCTTCGCCCTCTTGGGATTTCTATCTCAAAGTAGATGCACGAATCCTTTCCACCTTTGCCTGTAGGACCCAAAGCTCTCGCACTGAATACAGCTCAGCAGGTTCAGACGGTATAGTGAGCGTCGTTCAACATAATCACGACTGCGTGGGTGCCTCTAATAGGGCGAAAATAGCTATTGGCGTGATACTTGTGAATCCCGTCTTTATGGTCCCTTGTCATTTTTTGAGTAAGAGGATGCTTGGAATTAGGAGAAGCCAAAGCGCCTGGTATTAAGGTGAAAAACTCTAGCTGTTAGCTGCCACTACAAACTTGCCCATTACTGAGAATCAGTATCAAGCATGGTGCAAAAAAATTTTAAAGGAGCAGGGGTAAAGCGCACTTCAGGATATCCGCGGCGCAACACCGGGCAAACTGATATTTCTTTGCCAGTTGACTTGATACGCCGTAGCTGTTACTCTGAGTCAAGTGCTTCGTGACACCACCAGCCAGGGGTATGTCCCCTCCTTCCAGCGGCCGAATAGAGTTCTAGAAGTACGCCTACGCCTGATATTAGAAGTTCGGAAAAGACAGGAGCTCCTCAGTGGACGAAAGAAGGCTCAGGCGAGAACTCTTACTCTTCGACTCACAACGACTTTTTTGCATCTCCCTGCACTGAGCTTTGTCCAAAATTGGAAAAATCTAAAAAATAGTGCGGGAACGAATCTCGAAGGAACGCTCTGCGATTACTGCAATACTATGGACTATTCTAAACTTCATCGGATAGCAGTTCTCCTCATACCACAGTAGCGCTGACTGCCATAGTGGCCATGAACAATCAAGAGTTTTCCTTGTGTAAGTAACCATTTTTCACCTAGGATTCTGCGGAAATTGACAAACTTGATCCAGAACACGTAAAGCCAGGTGTGTTTCATGTCTCTTTTCTTTATTCTACGTATATTTTCGCTATACTGCATTTTCAAGTATGCCCTGGTGGTGCTATTCCCTACGGGATCCCACAAGTGATGCTATGTGATCCAGTTATTGTCAACATTTGCCCTAACAGTTACACGGTAAGTAGTCAAAAGACGTTTCACGTTGATTGTGTGGGCAGAATCAGGTTCAAAAGGCTTCCTCATTGACGAAGCAGTTCTCTTCGCCATTCCGAAAAAGGACTGCGAGAGCGGACCATTGAGGAAGGAGCACTGTGGCTCTGTCCCCACCCATACCGTCAACGGGGGATGTTCAATTGAACTGTCAAGTTTTTCCTGTTGACTCTACGTTCAACTAAGTTTGTCGATTGCAGTGTGTCGAAGCGGCTAATGGACACTTGCTCCCCAGGGATGCTCGATCCCTCTGCTGTAAAACTTCAACACTGTACTCATTTGCGTCGGTATTTGGGGAAGTGCAGTTGTCTCCACGAATCGTTCCAAATCCACCTCTCTCAGCCATAGAATACGTAGGTTTACAAGAGCTTCGAATCATATACACATTTACAGTATGGATTCTTTGGAGGGCGAGAGAGAGAGCTGGTCTGAGCCTGTAAAGGAGCGTCACATTGTACACTGTCTTGCGCGCACCTACATACTACACTCGAGATCCCTGAGATCGGGTAGGCGTGGCCGCATGTTTCAACTTACCCTTAAGGCGTCTACGCTTCTGATGCGATATTTTCATCTCGACACAATTGTTGTCGTGTCTCTGTCCAACACAGAACAAGATGACAGTTGTCCCAGACTGGAATATTCCAGTAACCAGTTCCGTACAGTGTTCGAATGCTCCGCCTACCCGATCTCAGGGATTTCGAGTATATATACATCTAGCGCCGCGCAAGTAATCTGAACGCGGACGTTTAGCACAGGACCCATCCCGAGCCTGTGAGGGCCCTATTCAGCGTCCTAGTCGCTTAGGTTCCGTACTAACATACACCTCAGAGAACCAGGCGTAGAATAAGCCCCTCAACGCCGTGGGATCGGACACCATCCTCACAACTAGGATTCCGCTTTCTCCTTGATGCCTTTCTTGTAATCGTTTGCAAATAGTTGTAGGGCCTTAAAAGGCCTTCAAACATCTCTGCGTCTGAGTGCAAGCTAGCTAGGGGTATACTTCACAAGGGCTATTTCACATTTTGCCCACATTTTACATCCTTATTGACGCGCATTCATTGGCCGCCTTTTGAGTGTATATGATCTACGGTACCCTCAGGTAAGACTCAATGTCCACACATCGGCAACAATGCACGCTCCAGAGATACGTACTGGTGATCATTTTGTATTGGCACCTTTCAAGCTTCTTGAACCAGCATATCTGAAAGGAGTGAAATTGTTCACAGAACAGACCCGTGGAAGTTACATACATGTTCTACTTTTCGGTAAGTGCATGAATTACTTCTTCCATTTTCGAGCGCTTTCTGGAAATGACTTAGGCTGTGTTCATACTTTGCGGCAGCGTCCACCAGCGACCACCAGCGTTCCGAGCGTCCGGCAGCGCCAGCGTCTAGGAAAATATAGGTATCGATCTAGCGCTGTCAGCGCCTACTAGCGTCTACCAGCCTTCACCACCGACCGGGAGTAGAGTATGGGGAAGTAGGAGGGTAGCAAACAGCTGGATTAGGCGTCGTGAAATTGCGGCGTGTGCAACCGTACCGTACAACTACACTACACCGTACATTAAATTGCATAATGCTGTGCTTTAGCAGTTGTGCGGTGCGGTTGCACACACAGCAATTTACTGCG